TAGTTGTAGGATTATTTTGATCAGTTGAATAAGAGGTTGCTGTTTTCAGACAATTTCTCTTCTTCTTTATTTATTTTGTGTACCAGTTTAGAGAGCGATGGCTATTTATGTAGATATCCTGCTGAAGTGCTGTCTGGTCTGCTTAACCAGGCCAGTTTATTTTCACTTTTGTCTTTATGGGCTGTAATAAGGTGCTTTCTCTCAGGAGTGCTGCCCACTTACCTCAGGCAAAATCTATCTGCACACAGGTAAGGCTCAAGGGGCATTGTGGAATAATAGAACCTCCATCTGCTTAGCTACTCAAAGTCATGTTCCTCTTTCGTAGTCTGAAATACTGCTCAGACGGCTTGCGTGCATGCTGCTGATAGTTGCTGTATATTTTCTCCAACCTTAATTCAGTTTGTGATAATGTGACTTCAGGACACATTGTGGTTAAAAATACTTCAAAGGAGTGAAACAGTGATGCATTATCCAAATGGTCATGGCACATACATACATGCACAACAAACTCTATGCAAATTTTATTCCTCAGTGAAATAAATTCCATCGATGAAGCACACTTCCTCTTCCTCATTGCTCCAGCCGACTGCTGACAAATGGGTTAAGGTGCAGTTAGTCTTTTTCTTTTTTTTACACTTGGCAGGGTAAAGTTCCTTTTTTTTTTTTTTTTTTGTTGCAATGCTTGCATTTTATGTTGCTCACCAAATCTCCTTTGCTGAAACATTCACATGTTTTAGTTCTGTGGCTTTTACCTTTAACATTCTAAGAAATTTGTTTTAAATTGGAAACTTCCTGTGTAAGTAAAATGCATAATGACTTATGCACAAATGATCAATGCATCCCTATACATGTTTTATTGACTACCTGTTACTGGTTAAATTATTCTAGCCACTTTTCCCTTCCTTTTATTTGTGTAGAAAAAAAAAATGTTTCTATTCTTCAGTTGAAAGAATGTGATGCATGTTGTTTGCCCAGTTTTCATGTCAGCAGTTTATCAGTTGTTCAACGCCAAGTTGGAAACTTCCAGACAATTAATGGAGCTGTTCTGATCTGTGTGTGAGGGAGAATGGGATTTCCACTTTTAGAATGGGTAAAAAATTGGGTCATAAAAAGACAATTAGAATTGAAGTTTTTTTGCAATGTTTTTAAACAAGCTTAGAGCACATAACTGTAGATTTGACTATAAGACAAATTTTATGGTGCAGATTAAGACTGTGTAGACTGGAATGTTGTGCACTGATGATTCATTACACCAACCATGAAAGAATGTTAGTTATTTCTGGAATCTAAAAACATACCTGGTGTTTTCTTCTTATTGCTGGTAATTATTATCACAAGCTGGGTCTACACAGAGATTCGGAATAATCAAGGTAAAGATTTTCCTCCATGGAAATGGTCGCTTCAAATTTTGATTCTTCAGGTGAATTAATCTTGATTTCTCATCTGCTAGTAACAGATGAGAAACTGACTAATCAATTGGAGAACCAACCATGTTTCAGTTGAGTGCAAATATAAATTGAAAACAATTCATGTTATTTTCTATTTTCATCTATATTTGCTTCATAATGGAAAAAGACACATTCAAAAATAAACTGTACGTCCCTTGAACAATACAACTAATAATGGAGCTTCATAAGGATATATCTGTAAAATGTGTGATTATGAAAATGGACAAAGGAGATCTTTGTAGATTTTTGATCTCAAGGAGTTTTATATTGGTTAAATAAAGGTAGAAGAAGTAGCGATTTCTAACTTACAGAAAGTTCCACATATAATCAGACACAAAGAAACACCGCTATGTAGATAGTAAAAGAAAAAGTAGAAGCCCGTTCAGTATATCCAATGTGTTTTATTTGCAGGACCAACCCTGAAACAATGTGATTAACCTTGACTTATTTAATTGACCTGGTAAAGTACTTTGACCTTGTCAGCACCAGGACTTCTATGCTCCACCAACGCACTGGCTTTATGCCAGGACCTCTCAGGTGATTATACTCCACCGGGAACAGAAGGTTAACATTAAAATCAATGTCTCCTGTACTGTCAGACATTTATGACTAACAGTGGTCTAAACTGTGCTATGTCGTCACCCTGAGAGTATTTTAAACCATTTTCTGTTTGTAAAATGGATCCCAGGGTTTCTGTTTGCCATCACTTGAAAGTCTCATCAGGCCAAGGCCAAAGTTCGGAGGTCCCCACAGAGAAAAAATACTGTTTAGTGACGGTGTCATTTTAAGGAGACTAATACACACATGAACTTAGTCTGAAGACTTTTTAATTTTAACAATATGTTGAGTTGAGATTAAATGCACTGGAGACAGTTTTAAGTTTCTAAAGTTATTTTAGCATGGCTGCTGTCCCCAAAGTATCTCTATTGCCACAGTGTTTGCAAATGAGAGTATGAAGCTCAGTTGATACAACAGAGTTTCGAAATATTGTAAAGATGGATTGTATTCAATGCAAACTCGAATGTCATGTAGGCTCTAAATAACACCGTCCTGCATTATTTGTTAATGCTTATTGATTTGTGCATGGATTACATTGTTATTTTGTTTTGCTCTGTGGTGACTAATCTGTTGCATATGATGTTTGGCCTTTGCCACTAGATAATGTAGCTTCAGCAAACATTACACAAGTACAGAGAGAAGATGCATTTTCTTTCATGATTGAATTAATCAGTATACCCTCATTCAAACATTATATAAAGAATGCCATTTACCAATCTGCATTTAAATTTATAAGTATAATTTTATTAGTTATTTGCATGAATTTGCCAGAATCTAACTATAAAATTAGTTGTTAAAATTAATGAATTCTAAATGTATCTTTGTCTTTCACTTGACAATTTCTTCTTCAGAATTGACAAGCACATTACAAAAATCAGTGGCTTGATAAGGTAGACAAACCATGGTTTGGATCTATAAAAACTTCACGTGACCAGTAAAAGAGCTCATCAATCTGTGGGTGCAATACACAGATTGTGGGTCCCAATACACGTGCTATCTTGGGAATGTCGCCTCTTTCACTTGTAATGTAATGAACCTCCTTTAGAATGCCATGTTTGATAGTCTACATGGATTCATCTCAGAGTGTCACCTTATATTCATATATTGCACAAATCAGCAAACCAACCTAAGCTTCTTTGGGGATTATTATTGTTACTAATTGGCTATTGGCCTTATCGTTGATGATGTCATTTTTACATCCACAGTCAGTTTTCAACATACCTAAATGTATTTGGGTTAAATATCTTGTTTTTTGTCTTCAAGCATCCTTTGTTTGCAACTTTGGACCATTATTATCTGTAGCTTCAGATAAGTTATCGGTGGATCTATGTTACTGGGTAAGCATGAGCAGTGGTGTGTTAGGGAATGCTGAGCTAGTCATTTGCTAGAAGATTAGGGTCATCTGGAGTAAGGAGCGCTAAGCTCCATTTAAAAGCTCTGCCCATAATTCACTAATTCATTTCCACTCATTGTTATCTGTAGGTGACACATTACATGAGGAAAATCATAAGAAATTGTTCATAGTAAGATATTGAGCTTTACTAGGATACCAGGAGATTTTTACCCAGTTTGGAACAAGATGAACTTCTCAGAAATCAGGGGGGCTATTCAGTGATACATGAGTTACAAATTCAAAGTCCCTTAAGCAGTGACTGGGATGTGCCTCACAGCAGCATGCAAACTGGGAGCTCTGAGGTTACTTGGTTCACACCCAGCAGGTCTCGCACCCATTGCCCTGCCCTCCGCTCACTGGCTTTGTCATTCCAGCTGTGATCGTGTCAGTGAACAGAGAGCATTATTCATGTCCTCAGAGGGGGGCACATCCTAATTGAAATTCCAGTCTTTCCTACTGGAATAAAGTTGGTCCCGACAACACCAATTGTATTGTCCTGGCCCTGTCACCTTGAAAGGCCCATCTTAGGAGTGTTTCTTGGCAGCACAGGAAACCGATTAGACACAATAGTCATGTTTCTGCGAGAAATAGGAGAAATGAAGCAGGACAGGACTTAGAGTGAATTGCAGCATTACAGTGCTCATTTCAATAGTTTAGGGTGAACTTGTCTTCTGTACTGCAGTAAATAAAGGGCTGAACTGTCTTGGGTTCCTTTCCATCTGTGTGGTCTGCATGCTAATGACTGACTGAATGAATCAGTGGCATTCTGATAGTGGTGAAGTGAGTACAAGGAAGCCTTTTTCTTTTTACTGCACCCTCACAAAAGTTTTTTTTTGTGTATTTTTTTTGGGGGGTCTGCAATTTCAGAACAGGAACGATGCAAATATTCATTTTCTTAGGATATTAAGAATGTTTTTGTTTAAGTGATGACTTTGTAATATCAAAAATTTGGAGCTGAAACTAAACATCTATTTTGTTCTTCATTCACCCATAAAAATGAGTAATTTAGCAAATATTTTTGCTGGGACTTACTGTCTAAATGTGCCTACATGGACAGCTGTAGATGTTATAAAATATAAAACTTGTGTGGTTTCAAAAAAGTACAGACTCATCTTTGTTTGTCACTGTCAAGCATCTTGTTCTAGCCTGTCAGCCACTCCTTGTTGGGTGTGTTCCATCTTGTTGCTTGATTAATCAAGGCTGGTCTCTTTGTGTTTGCATCTTGAATATTAAGGTACTGTTGTATAATCCACGGGCACTGTTGTTATTTTAGCACAAATGAGGTGCTCTTTTACAGTACTTGCGTATAATAACTTCAATGGAGTCAGTGTGTGCTATATTGTCAAGTGGTTGGGAAACAAAAAGTGTAGATCAAAAAGGCAGACGTTCATCAGTGTGATAAGGATAGAAGTGTAACCTTTGCAATATCTGATATTTCAGATGATTTACTGACATATCAATGTCAGTACATCATTGTAATTAGGTAAAGTTATGTATCTAGTAGAATTATGTGAACTGACATGCATACACATAAAATGCAATCAGCCTTCCAATACCAAAATAAAAGTTTCTTTACCTAACCTCTCTTTTCTGTCTTTCAGGGATTGAGCTGTGCCTGCCAGCATGGAGGTTTTCCATGACCATGGTGGCCAGCTTTGTGGTTTTGGGTGGTCAGCTCCTGATGCCCGGAGTGGCATACCTCTGTCACGACTGGCAGGTACTTCAAGCTGTCATCATCTGTCCCCTCCTGCTTATGCTGTCCTACATTTGGTAAGAAAAAAAAAGAAAAAAAGGAAAAACTTAGCAAGTTGCTCCGGGATAATTCAAAGTTCTCTGTTTTTGTATGTTTAAAAAAACAAAGTTTTATCATATGGTCAAACCAGCAAAATGGAAAAAGTCATGTCGTTTTTTGAAATTTAAATACCTGAAACAGTTTGGGAGAGTAATATTAAAATTGAGAAATGTTCAAAAGCAGCCCAGTAAAGTAAATGCAGAAATGGCAAGCAGTAAACTTTTAAAGGTAGGGGAATCAGTTGAACAGGGTCTTTTATTGTAAAGACGTGTTTCTTTTATTGCCAGTCACCAGCTCCACAAATTGACCATTGCAGCTCACTGCATTTCTATAAACAGTTGATCAAACAGGGCCAAAAAAAAATTTAAGCTTAAGTGTAGATGACTCCCATAGAAATTCAGCAACAACCATTCCCAAGATTTGTTCCTCTGCTATTTTGAGGGGATTGTTATGCAACACTGCAAAAATGTGCAAACCAAATCTTTTGTGAAACAGGCAGGAAAGGTTTGACACGAGCAAAAACAACTTATTGCAGCATTCACCACCTCATTAGCATGTTCTGGACTTCTAACAGTGATTGTTTTGGACTTAAGGCGTTGTGCTTAATCTACTGGCTGTTTTTGTGTTGAGATGCAATCATTCTACTGAAGAAGTTGAACTTCCAACATGCATTTGGGAAACCTAAAGCAATTCAAATATCTGGTAATGGTGCATATCAAATGACAGCAGCTGTAGCTATAACAAAAGGTATGAGAGAGTATCACCTAAAGTTAGATAATACTGTCTCGCTGGAAGAAACCTGGTTGTGGTTAAATGGCAACGTGTATGACAGAGTGACATTTCAACCGGTCTTTCAATGCAAGGACCTTTTAATTGCATTGACCTTTTTGATGCTCTGTAATAACAAAAATGTCCCCCACCTATTTTACAGGATTTTCCCTGAGTCGCTGCGCTGGTTGCTGGCAACCCAGCAGTACTGCCGCTCCAAATGGATCATGGGACACATAGAAACGAAAAATAAAGTGAACCTGGAACGTGATGCCGATAACATCCTCACAGGTAATATACCAGTCACATTTTCTAATTTATAGATATCAGATTCAATTTGTAATGTCATGGAGGCACATCTCAGTAAATCAAAAACAGAAAAGTTTTTTTTTTTTTTTTTTTTTTTTTGTAATTCATTCCAGACAGTGCAACTTGCGTGTTGCATACATACATTACACACAGTACTATATCTATAGTTTATTTATGAGAATTTCAATGATTATGGCTTACAACCAATGAAAACCAATTTAGTTAAAATATATCACAAAAAGTCAAGTTGACTGATCACAGAAGTCAGTGTCTAAAGCATATTGATAGAAAACTCAGTGGAAAAAAATGCATTTTGGTTTCTTTATTTCACTAATGTTGGCCACTGAAACATATGTCAATATGCTGTGCAGTATATGCATTTGATGCTTTTGTAAAGCTCTTCTTGCATGTATTAACACAATAAGGCATTTGGCATAGGGATTGGCCTGTTGTTTTTGTTTTCAACGGCTATGGAAGTCAAGGTTGCTTTAACAAAGACCTTCGGTTTATCTACAGTGTTTGTTCTAGTATCTATTACCCTCCCTCCAGTAATACCTCATATTTTGTCTATGGGGTTAAGGTCAGAGGGACCATTCAGACTCTTAAAATGGCTTCTGTTTTCCATGGTGCTCATGCACTCTTTTCTACTACATGTTTTCCCTCCACTTAAGATTTTATTGGTGTTCTTGGATACAGTGGGCTGTAAACAGCCAGCATTTTTAGCAATGACATTCTAAGGCCTACCATCCCCCCTTTGAGAGTGTAAATGATGGTTTGCTGAAAAAGTGTCCAGTCGGCGGTCTTATCTGTGACTATGTAGGCTGTAAAATACAATTTGTGTCATAAAAAATCTCACCTATTGATATTAATTTCCTGAACTGGAGTATGGGTTTTCATTAAACTATATTGATTAAAATTATCAGAAAAAAAGCATATCACTTAGTTTTGTTTTTTTTTTTAATTGGTGTCGGGGTTTCACTTTTTGAGCTACATAAAGTAGTACAAGAAATAGCAATCAAATAACTTTTCATTGCTATTCTAATATACTGAGATGCACATGCATATTAAAAAGTTAGATTCAACTAAACATTTAATGAAAGCATTTTATTTATTGTCATATGCCAAGCCTGTTCACTCAGTCTGAAAGACACTCGTTTCTCCAGCTGTGCTTTCCTAAATTAGACAAATTGACAAGGTTATGTGGATTTCCTGTCTTGTTACCATAGTAACATTCCACTAAAGAGGTGGCAGTGAGAGCTGAACATTACATTATGACACACTCAATTGTTTATTAATTTTATTAGAGCCTGTATAAGTGAGGATGAGCTGAAGCAAATGGTCAGATGGCAGATGGGGGGCGGGTCAGGCACTTTGACCCTGTGTACATTTCTCTGTTCTCAAGGGACCAGTCAGAGCCAAAGCAGACTGATCTGTGTTGATGACATGGCACATTGCATTTGTGTCGAGCTGTAAAACTGAATCACTGATCAACATGCTGCCTTCTTGTAGTTTTTGCTCTGTGATGAGCTGCGTGAAAATCAAGCAACTGTGAAACATAAAAGGATCTGTTCTTGGAAACAAGCCCAAAGGGGAACCACTGATTGTTAAAGTAGCACTTTTATTTTATTTATTTTCTTGCTAGACACAGTGGATGTGAGCTGATGCAGCAGTTAAGCAGAAAATCCGCTACCGTATGCTGAAATTTTTTCCCCCTCTCAGACTTATAGGCTGTCTCAGTACAAGAAGAGTTCCTGCATATAGTCGCATGCCATGCATACAATGGTGCTAATTACTCCATCTTTGGAAAATTTAATCGATGATGTGTGCAAGAATAACCTTACTCAGTGTTTTGAGTCTTGGCCAGGGAATCACCAGAAAGACTGCAGGGCTTCAGCCCAAGATGAATTTCAGGGGGTTGTGTGGAATGCTGAGAAGTTTCTGAGTCAACATGAAAGTACAATGCCACATATCAGAGGTGTGTTTCTGTGGCAACCTCACATCTGATATCAAAACATCCACTGCGTGCTGTGTCACCCTGCTGTTCAGGGTGTGTTGCTTTTTCACAAACCTGTTATATTCAGTCAACCAAGACTCGCATGAAACCTGTTTGCTCAATTTTTTGTGGCGTCATTATTAGGTCAATGTGAAAGTTTCCCCTTTCAACTCCCAAATTTGCCACGATCTATTAGCTATTTATTTTATAGTAGTTTTATTAGTTATTTACCTATATATTTGTGTTTTTTTTTCTTTAAAAAAAAAACATTTCTACAGAAATAAATTAGGTTTAAGTATTTTTTTTCTTTGAATAATCTGCAATCATTCAACTCATCAGATTAAAATATACTCTAGTCAGAGATGTTTTCACCTATTTTAACTGCATCTTCTAGCATTACAAAAATAAACATAAATTAACCCCTCACTACTTAATTATTATTATTATTATTTTTAAATGAATATTTAAAATGAATAAATATGACAAGACTGAGTTGGAAGCAAACAAAAGTAAACCTTAATTTGTCATGTATGCAAGTCTGAAGGAAAAAAATGGACACTGTGACATTTAGACTCTATGGAAAGTGAATTATATATTAATCACTTAACATATGAGACAGGTAGTATGTAAAATTTCTCAAACTCATTTGGCATCCAAGGAAAAGCTAAGGTAGTTTTTTTCAGCTCATCAGTAGCCAATGGGTGTTGTCTTTTCAATGGCTCACCATGAATACTGCTCTTGGTGCTATTGTTTGAAACAAAACTGCAGAGAAATCTCTGATCAAACTTTTGTGGCCCGGCTTATTCAACAGATCAGATGCTTTATCTAACAGTGACCAGAGCTGAACATTGCTGATACTCGGCCTGTTTAGTAGTCATGCTCAGCACAAGAGCTGCTGCATGCTGCAGTCATTGGTTTCTCTGCATACACAGCAATTTGGAGGACAAAAGTTGCAACATTTGTCAAAATCTTAAAAAACAAGGCAATTTTAGAGAACTATAAGAACATGTATTGTCTTAAAATACACTATGCTACAGCAATATTATATCCTGTCCTTCTGCTTATTTAATTTGTGCTTCAGTTTCAAAAAAGTAATCAAAACAATGTATATATAAAAAAAAAAAAAACAAACAAACAAAAAAAACAATTACATTAAATAAATAAAAAATATTGGGTCACATTAGTATTCCACTAATTTGTTCTTGAAATACATTCACTGAAGAATAGTTTGAATTAAGTAATTAAACAGCTGAGATTTCAATATTGACCCAAAATATTAATTATTGGGTTTCTTTATACCAACTACCAAACAGTTTTTTTTATTAGAAAATCTCAAAATATTTTAATTTGTTTTATTTACTGCCTTGTATGTTTGTTCCCAGAACTACAAAATGCTCTTCAGAAGAAACCCAAAAGGACATGCATCGTGAAAATGGCTGGTACGAGGAACTTGTGGAAGAACATCGTCGTCCTGTGCGTCAACTCGTAAGTGTTAATTTCATGCAGATGCTGGAAAAACGTCGATGTCTCTGAGTTCTAATGTATCTGCTTGTGAGGATTTGAGAACAATGGCAGGAGGAGCTGCTGCTCACATAAATAAATAGGCAGGGGTAATGCCAGTCAGAGCCGCCATTTGGTGCACTCAAAATGCCAATATAAACCTGGAAGTTCAATACAACATTGATCTTCAGCTCTATCTTCTGCTTTTCTGGTTCTCTCTGTTTTTATCCCTGATGGGATTGCCCCTCTTCTCATCTCTCCATCTGAGGTCTCATCTGTAGCTTTATCCATACTTCAGTGCGGTGCCCCGACTCCCTCAGTTAGCATAAATTTTATATGAGTTCTGCCTGTGGGAAACATTAGACAGCCAGGAGAGAGAATGGGGATGTTTGGTTTTAATGTGTGTGCCTATGAGCTTTGCTCTTTTGTGCCAGTAAGCCAATGTTTACATTTGTGAGTTTTTCTTTTTTTCTGTTTCATAAGCTGAAAAGAGAGCCAACAGGATGATATTAAATGCATTATTTCCCAGTGTATTCTCTTAAAAGCCTGCTTTTCTGTTTACTTTTTTTATCAGGTTAACAGGCTATGGGATCCACCACTGCTTTGCCCGGAGCATGGTGAGTCCAGAGAATGAGGAAAAAACCATATTCCGTGACTTCTATGCAGAATATTACACCAAGGCTGGTATAGCAGTGGCATCGTGCATTGCGTTGTGCCCAGCAGTGGGCCTGATGGGCCGGCGTGGTGGACTTCTGATGTTCATGATCATCACCGCTCTGGCATCACTACTGCAGCTGGGCTTGCTGAATTGTGAGTAGTTCATGAAAAAAAAGAAAATTCTTTTAAAATGAGACTCCTTCTCCAGTGTGGTTCACTGAATTAGGCCATGTATAAAAAAAAAAACTTTCTTTGCCAACATGCAAAGGGCTATAAGTGATAAAAAACTCCCTGCACAGCATCCTGTCACAGTGACATATGGAGGTGTTGGCATCATGCTGTGGGAATGTTTTTGTTTTTTTTTAAACAACTGTAAATTAATGAATGAAATGCAGTTTTGTGTGTTTCATTTTTCAAATCCTACGTTTGTTCAGAAAAATTAAAAAACTTCGAATGAAATAAAATGCAGACGTTTTTTTAATGATCAATGTGATTTTTGTTGTTCACAAATAAATTCTGGCAGACAGTTATCTGTTTTAGCTTACAGTCACGCCGTTATTATGAGTTGGAATGCTTTGCACAACATGTAGTTTAAATAATTATAAACACATTTTGAAATGTATAGAATGTTCTTCCAAAATATTTATGTCACAAGTGTAGACAAACTGGAGTTGAATGTGATGCGTTTCACCCTTTGATAGTTTTTATATTCTCATTTCCATATAATCCTACTTTTTGCTAGTAGTGGTGGTAGGTCTGAACAACATAACTCTCCAGTGGGATGGTCTAGTGGGGTTGTTGTCTGCCTCTTGTTTTCCTGTACACTCACTAGGGAGCAGCAGCACCCCCCACTGTTCTGTGCTGTCTGAGCACTGTAAAACAATATGGCAGCACAACACAGCTGCCCAAAAAATCTCAACCACAAATTGATCATCTCTGGTTCTAATTCCAAAATACTTTAGGGATTAAAAGCTGAACTGAATCATTAGTGCACGGCTCAGAAATTCATTATGCACAGTTTAGGATTTGTGAAACCTTTATTCTAAGTATTAAAACACATCAGAACTGATAATAGTTACATAATACAAATATAATTGCTTGTTTTAGTCACTTTATGTCTGATGTCCTCCAGATGGTCCAAAATGCACAGCACTGTTTCTACAGGAACAAACTGCACCTAATGTTTTTTTTTTTAAATATTTGACCAGGTTTTAAATTCTTGATTGAGTGCTTGTGATTATTGTTCCCACTTTCTCACTAATCCATATTCATTCATCTCTTTGTCATTTCAGTACTTTGGAAGTACAGCAATCATTTAAATATAGGTAGGTCCTGCTGGTTGTTTATTGTATTATCACTACTTGCATATGCTGATACAGTTTTGATAAAATGTTAATCACTTAATAACTGCCTCTGCTTTGATTACTTTTTTTTTTTTTACCTAATTTGTTGATATGATCATATCATATTGAACCCATTTGAAACAGCGTCACATTTAAAACATATTACACAAGTTAATGCATTTTCTTAACAAGGTCATGTGCCATTTTCTTTGCTATTAGTGCTGCAGAAAGATGGTCATAAAAAAGACTTGGATGCAGTTATGGTCATCTTATGGCTTATTTGTTTTGATTTCTTTTGTGAACCTCAGTGGGAAACCAGAAGATCAAACATTTTCTAGTCATAACACTTCAGTGTGTCATTTTGTAAATAGATTATTGTGTAGTCAGTTTCATGTTTACCCAAACAATTTCAGAGTTTATGTGATTTTTACCACAACATAAGATGTCATAAAATACTGAATTATGGCCTTCAATTTCAGTCTCCAAAACTTCAGATTCTCTTGTCCTTATGTAATAAAACACATTTATTGGATTTAAGCTGTCCACATTAAAGCAATGTTAAACAACCTGATGCATCTGGTTATTTCCCTGCTGTTATCATGGTTGTGGTGGGGAAGTTAAGTAACTGCGGTCTTTTGTTCATATAATATTCTTCTTTTTGCTTAGCTCTTTTTTTATATTCAATTAGTTAAATGTTTGCCCAATAAAATATGTCATTGCCACACATTCTACTACACCATCTAATGCTTAAAAATGTATAAGAAATACTGTTTTGTATAACTTCAGATTATGTCTTATATCCCTCATATAGATGCTTTTATCAGCCTCTATTTATGTGCCTGTAAACTGTAACAACTATAATTTGTTTCTTGACAGAATTACACTTCTGACAAATAAAAAACAAAATGATGTTTCTAAAAATGTTTTGAAATGTTCCACAAAGTACTATAATGCATTTACTAACGATATGAGGTGCTGAGTTAAATTGATTAATGTGTCTGCTGCTTCTCCAGAACAGAAAAAATCTACGCTGAATAGGAATTTCTCTATTGCCTTCTCCATCATCGGTATGTTCTCCTCTCACGCAGTCAGCAACCTAAGCATCTTCTTCTGTGCTGAAATCACTCCCACTGTAATCAGGTAATCTATACCATTGTCAACACCCATTAGGGTTTTGAAGAATGTGTAAGAGTAAAACGGGTTGTTTTGTTCCCATTTTACATAATTTCATTTTGTATTTAACTTTTAAGGTTTTTTTTTTTGTTTTGTTTATTTATTTGCATCCTAAATACTTTGCTGGCTTGATGTTTACTGTTTCTAAAGTCACAGTTATGTTACTGGCTCTACCTCCTGGTGAATCTTTGAATTACAAGATTGAACTACTTTCAGAGTAATAATCGGTTCTCCTGCAGATCTCTCTTAAGTATGGTCATTTAAAAGGAGCTCCAATGAAAATGCCTCAAGAACACCATCTGGTGCTGTGTTTGAGTAATGTCATAAAAGGCAAAGACTACTTAGATTTGAGAGTCAGGTGCTGCTGTTTGAAAATATAACAGAGCATAAGAATACATACATCAAATAATGTCAGAATTTATTTAACAGCAATGATTTTAGGGTATACCCAGGGTAGAACCTGGCTTTATTTCTAGAAGGTGTCACTGTTTATATCTTGTTTATATATATATATATATATATATATATATATATATATATATATATATATATATATATATATATATATATATATATATATGAGCATTCTTTAAATAACATTATTAATATCTTTCTTTGTAGGGGTGGTGGTGTGGGCCTTGTACTGGCCAGTGCTGGCTTTGGCATGCTTACTGCACCAATCATGGACCTCCACAATCAAAAAGGCTACTTCCTTCACCACATAATTTTTGCCTGTTGCACTCTCATTTGCATCATTTGCATTCTTCTTTTGCCTGAGACCCGTAACCAGTCGCTCCCAGAGACCATCGATGATGGTGAGAACTACACTCGTCAGCCACTTCTCCTCCAGAGGAAACTGGGAGAACAGGACCTCTTGCTCCATCAGCTAGAGCCCAACAGGGACTACTCCAGAGTGCAAGACACACCACTTCATGAGACAGCCAATGTTGCATTGTCAACCATGGCCTCCACTGCCTCTTCAGCAGTTGATTTGCCTACTTTGGCAGCTGGAGATTTGTCTGTTACCAATAATTTGAAAGAAGGACTAGACCTGCTTGAGCCACAAGACCCTAGCGGTCACTCCTCTCCATTTCCACTATCAGCCTCCGCAATGTCCAGAGGTAAAGACGTCATCATACAAGCCAACAAGGAATGCCTGCTGTCTTCTAGTCCTTTACACAAAGCCCCATGCGCTACAGATCCACTTTTAGCAGATGCAGAAGAACTTTTGGTAGTTCAGGAATCTACAGACAATATCCATCTTGAAGTGAATAACACGACTCCTTCTCCCAAAACTAAGGATGGCCCCGGGATTGTTGATTTGCATGTCTCTTCACCTCCCATTATCCCCCAAACATTGCCGGCCTCCTTGTTGATTTGTACAACCCCTGTCATTGAGCCCCGTCCTAGTTCCATACTAGAGTCTCCGAACCCACTGGAAAATGACATTGATGAAATCATTACAACATCCAAGCCGCTGGTATCTGAAGACGCTCCTAGTATTTCAGAAAACCTCCTTCCAACATCAGACCTGGACCAACCCGCCCAAACTTCAACCTCCAGTACCCCACAGTTTGATATCCCCCCTAAAGTAGAAAAAATATTAGAAACTGCATGTACTCCTGATATTAGAAACTCACAGCCACCGCATTTAGATCTGATGCCCTTCAATGGTAAAGATATCTCTTCTCATTCCTCCACTCCTCCAAGTTTAGTAGCTGTGTCACCAAAACACACGTGTGCTCCACCTACTGACTCAGATCCCACGCCCTTTGCTGACTCTTCCTCTGTCTACACCACAGCAAGAAGTCCAACTGTCCTCCCTGTCACAGACATTGTGAATACCATACATCTAGAATCATCCACAAACATTGTACAAGATTCTGTCATTTCTCTAGATTTAAATTCTGTACAGTCAAATTCCAATGTGGATGTAGTCCCTGTTGAGGCAGCTCCCATCTCTTTAATGGACAGCACTGTGTCCTCCCCCATAGACTCTGGTGTCATAGCCACCATGGACAGGGAGACTTCCAGCACAGAAAACAACTCTGTCAATGGCACAGCATCGACATGATTATGTGTTGCAGCCAAAAAAAATGTGAAGCTTTATGTGTCGCACCAAGAGGCAGCCACCTACATCCATAAGACAGCATGGAGCTTTTGGGGGTGTGGGAGTGGAGACTACCTAGCCCAGACTTCAGGTCCTTCATGAAGACTGGTCCAAACTGGATCTGGGTAGACTTGTCATACACTAGCTGCTTTATTTTCTTCAGTGCTTCTCCATCCTTCCTTGTGTCATTGTGGATTTCGCCAATAACTGAAGACCACACAAGTGAGAGACTGCAGCACTGGCTGGTTTGTAACAATGTAATGTCAATATCTGCACTTCAGGAACATGACTGGAAATCACCAGCGTATAAAGTACTCTTTTTCTTTCTTTTTTAAAATTAATTAATTAATCAACAACTTTGGGTGAGCGAAAGAAGGGAAAACCACTGTCATTTTGAATGCCAATGATTGCAGAGATGTCATCAGCTCTGATGAAGAAATGAGAAGCCAACGATAACAATGGATACCACCAATGCTTTTGCTTAAATAAAATGTTTTTAATTTGCGTCCATCAAAAAGGCCTTACATATTTACAAGAAATTGGAATGTTGCAAAGTATTTTTGCTGTTGTAAATGTAAATTATTTAAATTGGACACCTTGTTTTATTTATTTTTTCACCAAATACAAATACCAAATACTGCCCTAACCAAAACAAACATTGATGTAGTGCCAAAACATAAATAGCAGTACAGTGTTTTTTTTTTTTGTTTTTTTTTCCTGTCTTGGGACATTTATGGGAGACTTATAAAGAGAATGTGAAGTTGCTCTTGCACCATGTTGAATTTTGGATGACTCGGTTTGTTTATGTGCCAATTTCTCTAGAGTTCTCATCTCTAAGGCTGTTTTCCATTTGGGAACTCAACACATTTCTCTTCAGCTTCATAATTTTAGATTTCTAAAAATCAAAAATCAAATGTACAAGCGTGGACCTAAGAGGAGAAGCGAGCAGCACAGACGCTGGTGTGGCAGTTGCTATGGCACAGGGAATGAGAGAAGGAGTTCTTGAGCCTAAAATTACGTCTCAGCATTGAAAAGGACAAATATGCCTATCCACTACTGTCTAAAAATAACCTTTTTTTTTTAACCATATGCTGCACCATAAAATCAACAGATAACTATATTCCCTTGAAATAATTCCAGTTGATTTGCTTTCTTTAATGAGACGTTCAAGAGAATTGGGTCTTGAAGGCAAGGGGATATGAGTGGGACACTGGCTTCTTTCTTGAGGTATCCTTATGAGATTTACAGAATTCAAATTCATTGGGTTCCATATATCGATTGCTATTGCTTTTGATAGTCATTTTAGGTTTTTTGCTCTTTTTTTTTTTTTTTTTGTTATGAAATGTATTTTCTTTGAAGAAAAAACCCTCTCCCCTTCTCTGCCAACAGCTGACAACCAGCTTATTGGTTAAAGCAATCAGTGAAAGGCATTTAAAAATAGATGGTACTCCAATTTCAATATGCAAAACCAAATGTGGCATAACTTCATTCTTTGTTTTCACATTCTTCTCAGACTGCATAATGAATACCACTATTTATGTGTTGCATTTTTTTTTTGTTTTTTTTTGTTAAAGTGAGCAAAAAAATAGGTAAACTAGCACATGGTGATTTTTGTGGATTAAGGAGCAACTTTTGTTTGAGAGTTGTTTCAGCCAGTGAAAATAATTGTATGCAAATCCTCTTTTGTTCAACCTTAGTTATGACCAAGTATGTTAATTAACTCTCGAGCTTGATTCAGTTTTGTTTTTATAATCTCCAAAGTATTATTTTCAGAACTCTCCTTGGTGTGCCCTTAATGTACAGAGCTATACATCCTTATTACAGTATTTGTGGCACCTTCATATGGTGGCACTTTATTTTTGTGCAGTGGGGATAAAGCATGAAATCTATCGTGAAAGTGTAAACAAAACTGTTAAATCTTTTAGGGAAAAAAAAAAAATCAAAGAAAAAAATGAGTTGTCCAAAATGTTTGATGCGATGCCAATCGTTGCTGCATTGATAACCTATAATGTGTGTGTGTGTGTTTTCTAAATCATTAACATAGTATGTCATTATTTCCTTACATACATTTTCGCACAAACACATGCACAACTTACTCTTAAAAAATGCAATACACTACACAAAATTACATGTTCTGAATTGACATATTGATTTTAACTAAATGAAACGCTCTTTCTCATGGAAGTACTTTTGCTTCCAAAAGTCCACTTCCGGACTGCAGCCTATTTGATGTAGTCACTTGTGTAACAGTTGTAGTAGTTTCATACTTCTTGCTTTTGAAGTTGTTATACTTGTGTACAGGAGGATGTGTGACTGTGGATGTGTTACTGTTTACAACAAGCCTCACAATGACCATTAGTAATAATAACAATAATAGTGCCGTACTGTATACCTTGAAAGACAGACGATGTCTTGTGATCTGAAATGTGATAAAACTCTGTAGATCATTTATCCAGGGATGTGTTGAGGTGATCTGTTAAGGTGTTGTCAGGATTCATAAAATCACTAGACCTATAAAATTCTCTGTTATCATGTGAAAGACCTGTGAAGAGCCTTACACTTTGCTAATTGTTGAAAATGCTACATATCTTTGATTGTTTGAATGACTGATCAAACTCTTAAGACGTGTGTTTGATATGAGAAAAATAGCTCACTTGCTGATTGATTAGGGGTGGTCTTTGATTGTTTCATTATTGATGTAACTAAGATGTCCATGTGGTTCTCTCATTTCAGATGCAAATAGTGTATGCCACATTCAATTCTACTACACTTCAGAGCACAAGTAACTGCAACCATTTAAAATAGTGGTGTACTTAAGAGTGAAAGGGAAGTTGGATGTGGAACAGGACGTAAGGACTGCTTGTCACACAATAACTTTTACATTACATTTCCGTGTTTGTGAGTGGGTGGACGCCTCAGTTGGCTGAGCCTTCAATGTGTGTGTTAGTATTTATCTGGGTGTGCAGCCAAATTAAAGTTTGTATACTTGAAATCTAAATGCAAATCTGGAGTAAAAAAAACAACCAAACAAAAAAAAAAAAAAAAAAAAAAAAAATCAACACAGCACAACACTGGTACTGTCTCCTCTGACATCTGTTACTTCACTTTCTTCCATTCAGCTATTTCAGTGCAAAGAGGAGATTTTTTTTTCTATTTTTCGCATTTGCATCCAATCCAACTTATTAGGTTTTTTGTTTACATGTAACTTTATGTGAAATGAAAGCAATGCAGAGCAACGACGGCACCAGCGACTAAGGCTTTAGGGCTGACATTTATTGTTGGAAAGATAAGATGAAGGATCGCAAATCAAAGGAGTGGTAAATAAATTTTGAATCCAGCTGATAAGCCTTGGGGGGGATGAAGTACCCAATGCACACATTTCAGGTTTTGCTTCTCTCAGTTGAGCGACTCAAAATCTCTTTGTTGAGAGATTCAAATGAATGTAAAAAAAAAAAAAAAAAAAACCTTGGATTGTACATTTTTAAGTATCACTTGTCTGATTTCATTTTATTTTAACTGACATAATGCACTTGTACATAAGCCATACATGTTGAATTAAACCACTATTTATTGATGAAATCTGAGCATTTGTTTCATATTTTTCTTTTTATTTAGATAAGCTCACTAGGTTATTTAGTTTTTAAATAAGACATGTCTTCTTCTTTTCACCGAGCTAGAAATATTGCATGACCTATTTTTCTCAAGCACTCATAAAAATGGGCAAGACACAAGAACATTCAAGTAAAGCAGAAGTGTGTTAATCTGTAATTAAATGTCGCAAAACCAGGTTCTTGCCAAATCGTTTTCATACAATAACATTTATCCTGCACAATTACTGAAATACAAAAAAAAAAAAACAGTTGGAAGAGGAGGAGGGATGGTGGAGGTGATAACCCAGTCACATAAGTGTATAATACCCTTGACAACATCAGACAATATTTTCTCAAATTAGCCCATATAGCTCTTGAAAAGATTAAGAGACAACTGTACTGAACCCCATTGAAAATATTGATTTCTGAACTCCTGAGTTCATTAATATTGTTTAATAAATATGAACTTGTTTCCTTTCCATTATTTGAGGTCTGAAAGCACTGCAACTTTTGTTATTTTGACAATTTCTCATTTTCTGCAAATAAATTATAATTTTTTTGCCTGGAATTTCAGAGACATGTTGTCAGTAGTTCATAAAATAAAAGAACAATGTTAATTTTACTCAAAAATACACCTGTAGAGAGTAAAATAAGAGAAACGAAGAATTTTGCAGTGGTCTCTTAATTATTTCCGAACTGCACATTACACCATTAGCTGGAATTAATTGCAGTAAAAGCTGGAGGTGACATTCTAAAGAAGCAGTGTGTTCACATATAACAACTTCAGCTTTCCTGAATATGCCATTTAAGATACAATCTAGTTTATTTCCCAAGAAATTAGATTTTAAAGTAATTGCTTCTTGTACAATTTATGTCAGAAGGTTACGTGCCAATTATTCCAGCCAACACTGAAGCGGCTGTGAAGCTGGAGTTTTGCAGTAAAGAAGTGCTATACACACAGCAACGCGGCCCTTCTTTAAACTGAAACAGTTTATTTCACAATATGTACTTAGTCATGTGAATCTTATAGCATCCTTGGTGGACATGGTGGCTATTTCCTTTTTTTTTTTTTAACAGGCTTAACGTTTTTGCCACCATCACTCAAAACTCGTACATTGATAGCAGCTCCCCACCCACACTGCCTGTCAGAGAACTAGCAACCAACTGAGCTTGCACAGAACAGCCTAAATCCAGCAAAAAGAAGCAAAATTTTTCCATGCACGGGACAGGGTGATGTCAGGGAGGGATGATGCAGCAGCATCCCCTAGTGCACTGCATCAAGCCGGACCGCTCCTATTGGCTGAGAAAGATGCTGCGCCGCGTCTAACGTCATCCGAGCTGCAGCGTGTCGGTCCATCTCGCCGGATCGACGCACAGTATAGAAATAAGGGTGATTTTGCAGAAAGACGCCAGACAGGACAGTGGACGAAGCCCGAGTCGAGAAAAGCTCTTCCCCCCTGTCCCAGCATCCGCAGCTCACCATGAGGGAAATCGTTCACATCCAGGCTGGACAGTGTGGAAATCAGATCGGGGCGAAGGTATTACATGTTTCAACTGTTTGGACTCTTTTGAAAATAAGTTCATGAACGCCATGCGTTTTGCCTTATCAAAATAGACGCGTTTGTTTCGTAGCCAAGTAAATAAAACAGAATATCTATTGAATTTTGGAAAAAAAAAATACTTGAAATTGACTACTATTAGTGACATTTGGACTCAGAGGGTGGGGTTCGGTGGCTGCAGCAAAGTACCCCCACCAGCTGAGTTTTCAATCTGCCATCCTGCAGATGCGCAGCGCTAAAAGAAAACCTGACACACACGCTTTAAAGTCCATTTTCGCGGCGTGTTTACGCTCCAAATCGCTAACGGAAAAGTATTTTGTCTTCATTAGTTTTGGGAGGTGATCAGCGACGAGCACGGCATCGACGCCACCGGCAGTTACCAAGGTGATAGTGACCTGCAGCTGGAGAGGATAAACGTCTACTACAATGAGGCCTCGGGTAATAGAGGGACATTTGTTGTTTGTGGAATGCTTCTGAATACTTTACTGCCTCATCAGTCTGTTTCTCATCATCAGTGCATGGCTTTCTGCTGCACAGATCTCATTTGAATGCCACAACACATGATGTCCACGTCACAGGTTTAGCTGCAGGGGAAAATAGGTTGCACCATGGGTGCATGAAAAAAAAAAAATAGGACAGTGATCTTGCTAAAACGTCTCTCTGTGTTCCCTCCCTGTCCTCCACCCATCCTTTCCTTTTCTCTCTGCAGGGAAAACAGGTACCTGCAGTGTCTGCATTGCTGACCTCAACACTCTGGCTTGTTTCAAATTTTCTCAAGTATCTGTTGTGGCATGTTGAACTTCGTCCCAATCACACTCTATCTGCTGCTTGTCCTCGGCACGCTTCTGTCTGTTTAGCAGAACAACATTTTATTAGCCAGCATGTCTTTTCCAGGTGGATTAAGATCAAACTGTGGTCTCATCTGCTACAGCTGAAAGAAGCATGAGCAACTCTGCTTTTCCATTTCCTATTAATGTGACATTATTGATCCTTTAGTTCCAGTGTAGCCTGCTGTTGGTAGCCTCACTGACTACTGCATTTGAATATCTGCATAACATAATTCTCATGTTTTTTTTTTGATTAGTCAAACAACATTAGAACTTGAGTATTGAGCATAAAAAGAAGAAAAAAAATGCATAGGGCATTGCTGATTTTATTTTTTTTTCTGAGTGGACTCTGCAGTAATTCAGTTGGCAAGCTGTGCAGCATACTGCAGTATTTTACTGTCGAGAACAGCCCAAGACAAAGAGGGGGCTGGACAAATAAAGCACCTCAATAATAATCCTGATATGCTTGTGGCTTTAGCAAATGACTCTTTTGCAGTTTAATACATTTTAATTAAATGTGTACCGTTTTGTGAACAGGTATTTGCACCCTTAAAGATTGCTTGTGTGTTTGCTGTGGTGTCACACCCAAAACTTCCCTTTCAAAGTAAAAGGTATACACGGAGAGCATGTGCTGTGTTCTCTTGCCCTGCTAGTTCCAATCTTTTCTGCAATGTTGTGTTACTGGTTGCAGCAGAACTGCAACACAACAGTTGTACCTATGACTGCAATATCTTTTTACAAAACTTCTGAATAAGATTATTGTTTTTGCTCAGACATCTTTGTCTGATATCAAAGTTAGCTGATCTGAAATAATAGTGTGACAAAAAAAGAAAATAAAAAACAAAGCAAAACTTCTTTAAGGGGGCTTATATCACCCTGTGTTATTTTAAACTTTGCCTACATGCAGAGTCTTAGTAAAGCCTTCTCATTTTCTCTTTCTTCTCTCACCTCCCATGTGTTCAAAGGCAGCAAATTTGTGCCACGTGCCATCTTGGTGGACCTGGAACCTGGGACCATGGATTCTGTTCGCTCCGGTCCATTTGGACAGCTCTTCAGACCTGACAACTTTGTCTTTGGTGAGTGGATGTTGAATTCAAATGCTGCAGCTTAATCTGGGCAAACTGGACATAGAACACTTGTCAGAAACTGCTTCCTTATTCTGTGAAATCTGTGCTGAGTTTTATGAGAGAGCAATGCACAGGTGTGTTATTGTCATCGTACCACAAGCACAATATAACTGCAGTTTCTCTTTGTGGTGCAGAAAGTATTGGTCATTGTCAGAGTCAGATACCTCTTCTGGTGACTTGGCAGAACATAGGAAGCACTTTGTTGGTTACAAATGGGGCTACGGGAGCTGAAACAATGCATCACAGATGGGCTTTTCATTTCCCCTTTCTTGGAGCTAGTCATTCATTACTAACAGTCAACAGAGGATGGATGGGGAACTGCTTATGTACTAGTACTTCATTAGTCACAGTATCAATACACTGCTGTGATTGATGTGTTTAGGTGAGAATTAAATCACTTTAATGAAGAAGATGGATGAGTTACCAAAAATGATCAGAATATCATCTTCTGACACTCACTGGCCACTTTATTAGACACACATTGCAAGCAGTAGATTCAAAGGATATTAAGTGTAGATTCAAGAAGTTGTAAAATTTGGCTTCAATTTGACATTATAGGAATTTCTCTAGATTTGTCAGCTTCTCAGCCATGATTTGCTCCACTACATTTCCAGGAGGGGGTCCATCTTATTGTGATCTGGTGACTGTGAAGGGCATTGGAGCATTGCAAACTCTATGTCAAGAAAGTAGTTTGAGATTGTATAAGCTTTGTGACATGATGCACTATCATGCTAGAAGTAACCAGGAGAAGATGTGTAATTTGCAGTAAAGAGATAGACATGTTCAGAAACAATGTTCAGGTAGACTGTAGCATTTAGACAATGGTCCAACGTGTCCAAAGGAAACAACTTCCCACACCATTTCATCAGCCCCACCAGCCTGAAACACTAATGCAAAGGAGGATTTGTTTTTATATGCTTTTTATGTTTCTTACGCTAAATTCTGATCCTACAATTTGAATGTCACAACTGATTGAAGACCTATTAGACCAAGCAATGTTTTTCCAATCTGTTACTGTCTCACACAGGCATGGTGAGCCTGTGTGAGATGTAGTTTCATGCTCTTTGCTGATAGGAGTAGAAGTTGGTGTGTCCTTGGCTGCTGTAGCCCATCTGCTTCAAGGTTTGACAAATGTAATCAGAGATGATATTTACCATACTTTCGCTGAACCAAGTCTCGATGCTCAAATGCATTGATTTGCTGCAATGGGATTAGCTTATTTACTATTCCTATTGACATACAATTGAACATGTGTACCTAATGAAGAGGGAGAGAAAAGCAAACTATGGAACCTAACATGTCATCCTCTTTGATAAATGTGTCAAAGAAATAAAACATAAAAATGTGGGTTTTGAAGTAACCATAAACCAAAAACAAACGCACAGTTTTTTCAGTATAATCACCTTTCACAGATTTAGAACTTCCATCCATCAAATGTGGCAGGAAGGTGCTTTCTCCAGCCCTCTTTGGGTTAGTGGCAGGGCACACACTGCTCAAGTCACGCATCCATCAGAGGGTGACACAGAGACACACAGAAAAAACAACCTTGCACTTCTGAGGCCAATTGAGAGAGACCAATTATCCAGGCATGTCTTTTGACATGTTTTTGAAAATGGAATAGGTGGAGAAAATCCACACATGCACAAGTGGAGAACATACAAACTCTTCGTAGAAAAGTCTAGATTCAAGCCTCAAACCTTCTTTTTGCAAGGCGGTGTTGCTTATTAAATAAAATCAAAGCAAAATTTATCTAAATATTATAGGCTTTTATAAACTAAGAGACTATAATACAGTTTTTTATATGTATCATATTTTTAGAGATTGTAATTTGGTGTATGGAACTTTAGATTGCAAAAACACTTAATGATGATTATGTCACTTGAATGTAAAGCCCTGAAACATCCATCAGGTGCTCTATAACTAAGCCATTGTAAATTTTGTGCTATGTTCATGATCTCTATCTTATTTTGAGGTGTAAAAATGTGGCACGACCAAGCGAAACTAATGCAGACATTGTGCCGATATCTTGAGCACAGCTGCAGTTCTGCTGCAACCAGTAACACAACATTGGAGGAAAGAGTCTATGAATGAGATGCATGAGAACAGAGCCAAAACTTTCTATGGAGAAAAAAAAAAGTTTATCTATTTACACTGTGGATTATAGAACTTAGAAACAGAATTAAATGTAAACTCCAACTGTCAACCTTAGAATCCAAAGCTGATTGAAAATTGTTTCTTTTTGTGTTGGTGATTTGAGCATCCAGTGAATGACATTTTTATTCACTCATTGATTCTACAGCTTATGTGGATAGCGATTTTCAAACCTTGTCACAGATTATCTGTTTGATTTAAGATCGGGGTTTTGACTGGGCCAATCTAAGAAACAATTCCATTGTAGCATTGGCTGTATGTGAAGCGGTATTGTTCTACTGGGAAGTGAACCACAGGTATTTTCCAGCCTCGAACAGGTTTATTTAGCTCCATAAATCCTCCTGTCAACTTTAAATATTTCCCCTGTTCTCACAGAAAAACATGCCCCCATATCATAATTTTGTCTCCACCCTGTTTTACTGAGGCAAGAGAGTGTTGGGGTGGTATGCAGTGTTGGCTTTCTGCAAAATATAATATTTTGTGTGAAGGTCTAAATTATTATTTTTCTTTTTCGCATCTGACTATAACCTGATTGTTATTTTAGGTTTTTACTCTCAAAAGTGTAATTTATGAACTCTGTTGGGTTCCTCGGTTTTTATGATGCTGTTTATTTACGAAGGTTCTTTAACAAAAATGCCTATAGCCTTTGCTGATCACAGACATACTCTATGTACTAATTAGGTTGTTTCTGAACCAATTAATTGCACTGAATTTCATTTAGTGATTCCAAGTTAAAGGGGGATGTTTATTTATACAAATACTGAAGACCATTTATACATTTTGTGTAGTTGTAATGAGTAAGTATTGAAATGTAGCAAAGTTTAAGGGGTAGGATTTTCCCATAAATCATAAAAAAGCTTCACCGGCACATATTTTCACAAATAAAATTCAAATAAAGTAATAAACCTTATTTCTAAAATAGATTTTTTGTGTATGGGCACTTACCAATGTTCTGTTATTAAGAGAAGGAATACATTGAGAGCCTGCAAACTATAGTATTTGAGTGCAACAGTGTGGAGAGAGCCCTCTGCAGATCATGCTCATTTGTTCAAAATAGTTTGTTGTTAAATATTGTTTCAACAAGAACTGTCTTTAACCTTTTCTGTCACGCAGGTCAAAGTGGAGCTGGAAATAACTGGGCCAAAGGTCACTACACAGAGGGAGCTGAGCTGGTGGACTCGGTTCTGGATGTGGTGAGAAAGGAGTCGGAAAACTGTGACTGCCTTCAGGGCTTTCAGCTTACACACTCCTTGGGTGGAGGCACAGGTTCAGGGATGGGCACACTGCTCATCAGCAAAATCCGTGAGGAGTACCCTGACCGGATCATGAACACCTTCAGTGTCATGCCTTCCCCTAAAGTGTCTGACACCGTGGTGGAACCTTACAATGCCACCCTTTCTGTCCACCAGCTTGTGGAAAACACAGACGAAACGTTCAGCATTGACAACGAGGCCCTGTATGACATTTGCTTCCGCACCTTGAAGCTTACCACACCAACCTATGGAGACCTAAACCACCTGGTGTCAGCCACCATGAGTGGGGTGACCACCTGCCTCCGCTTCCCTGGCCAACTCAATGCCGACCTCCGCAAGTTGGCAGTCAACATGGTGCCCTTTCCTCGCTTACATTTCTTCATGCCAGGTTTTGCACCCCTCACGAGCCGTGGCAGCCAGCAGTACCGTGCCCTTTCTGTTCCAGAGCTCACTCAGCAAATGTTTGATGCCAAGAATATGATGGCAGCGTGCGACCCCCGCCACGGGCGCTACCTTACTGTTGCAGCCATATTTCGTGGGCGGATGTCTATGAAAGAAGTGGATGAGCAGATGTTGAGCGTCCAGAACAAGAACAGCAGCTACTTTGTGGAATGGATTCCCAACAATGTCAAGACAGCCGTTTGCGACATTCCCCCTCGTGGCCTCAAGATGTCTGCCACCTTTATCGGGAACAGCACAGCCATCCAAGAGCTCTTCAGGAGAATCTCGGAGCAGTTCACTGCCATGTTCCGTCGCAAGGCCTTCCTTCACTGGTACACTGGAGAGGGAATGGATGAGATGGAGTTCACTGAGGCTGAGAGCAACATGAACGACTTAGTGTCAGAGTATCAGCAGTACCAGGATGCCACTGCTGATGAAATGGGTGAATATGAGGAAGACGAAATAGAAGATGAGGAAGATGTGCGGCACTGATTAGACATCGGCATTGAACTTGTTTTAGAATACATGTAGTATGCTTGAGATACAAATGTTTAATTTAATATTGCAGAGTGCAGATTAAAAACTAAATGCTTATTCTAAATAATGCTGCTGAAACACATTGCTATTGCCAAAGCTAATTAGTGGTGTTAGGACCTGACAAAAGTGAGAGATGATGTATTTTGTTTCCACAATAATGCTTTGCCAATGTAAGAACAAGCTCAGACATTTGCTTTACACAGTTTTGTAACAAACACTTCATCAAGCATCTGTGGTCTACAATGTACAATAAACAATTCAAATTAAACTTCACCTCATGTTTACTTTTTCTTTATGAATAAAATGTGTGCGCAAAGGTTTAAACATATACATTGAAGCACATTTTTAAAGTATTTTTTCCCATATTTTGTTACTGTTGTGATAGTTGACAACTGGCAGAATAAGGCCTGAATTAAGGATTTTAAGAAAGAAACTGGATTTGCCCTTAGTGTTTTACTGGTTTCACACATTGTTTTGAGAAATGTACTTACTGTTTCACAGATGGCGAAAATGACTCAAGACATGCACCAAAGGTACTGAGAAAAACTGTAACTAGGATACATTATTGGGATAAATAATAGAAACAAGTCAAACATATGGAGGCACTATTATGATTTGTGTTATCGTAACAAACTTGTTTGTCCTATCATCCATGTGAATATTCCCTTGACAAATGCCACCTATTTAAGTATACCTTAAACAACATACAATGGTAGAAAGTAAGTTTATAAAAAAAGTTGACATATAATTTAGACTTTTATTTTTTGTCTATACAAAATACAAATAATCCTTGCCAAAATTTATTTTCTGAGAAACAATTAACCTTTTTTTTTTCTCTCTCTCACACCTATACACACCTTTTAGGATGTGTACAAGCTTGTCATCTCTAGATGATTTATAACAATCATTCTGAGAAACACTTGAAACATCCATGTGTTGGAATTCTTTAGAAGACTGTATCTCAAACAAAGACACCACTTGTAACATCCTCCTGATATTGTGTCACCTTATTTTGCATTAAGGTATCGAACTGACTCATCTGAGCAACCAGGGAAGAACATAACAATAACAGTGTTCCCCGAACATAACAATAACAGTGTTCCCCGAACACTTAGTGTTTTACTGGTTTCACACATTGTTTTACTGTGTGAAACAATGTTTCACACAGTAAAACACTGTTAGAGAGTAGCAGTGTGGAGAAAGTGAAATAAACCATGCAAATCCAAAGATAACGATAGATAAAACTGATATGATCAGTCCGTCCCAGAATGGGAACATAGTAACAAGAGCATGCACAGAGAAACAGTCAAACAGGCTCTAGAACAGTTTTTGTACATGAGGTCACACCCAGAGATATGCGGGGAAACCAAGCATTTTCTTTCATTTGACAGTTTGACTGAAAACAAATGCTTCAAGATGAATGATGGCCTGAGGAAATAACTTGTGGGAAGGTTAAAAACACAGATGCAATGCAGTGTTTACTTACAATAGGCCAGGATAACAAATGCAATACAACTTTCATTTTGGTATTTCCTTTTGAAGAAGTACTTATAAAATTCATCTTGTTGGTTTTAAATAAACAAAGCCAACCAGAAAAGACCGAAGTATGTAAATCTACCAAGGAAAACTGAATCCAGTTTTCTGATGATATGATTCTGTAAAGACGAATTCTGAGAAAGGAAAAGACAACAGCTTCTTGGGAGGTCCTTGTTTAGTTTGCATTTTAGTTTGAGACAATCTTTTTTCATCTCAAAACAAAACAGCTTTTTATCTGTTTTAATGGAGTACTGTTCAACATACAAATAAGTTGTCGTAAATTGTCCTTGTATTCATTTTGAATAAATTGTTTTTCAAACGTATGTATTCCCCTAAGCTTTTAGAGATCTTGTCACATAATAAGCTACATATTCATTTGTATTTTATTAGATTTCATTATGCTGGACCAACACAAAAGAGAGCATAATTTAAAAGAGGAAGGAAAATGAAAATTGTACTAAACAATTTTACAGATAAATAAGAAGTCAGTACTTTGCAGCTGCAATTCATTTCATGTTAGTCTCTACTAACTTTCCTCTTCTCACAAACTGCATATTCAGACACAAAGGTTGTTCACCTTCTCCTACTTGCAAAATACCTCAAACATGAACCATTTCCTGATTATGAATTAAATAATTAAATAAGCTTTGGATATCGTTTTGTAACATTATCCAGAGTTTTTTTTCCACACAGTGCCCTGTCTGTTTTGGTCTTTGGTTTTCATTAAACTGTCTATTCACTAATGCTCTCTAACAAATCTGTGAGGCCTTAACAGAATATCTGTAGACGAGTAAGATTGAATTACCTTACACACAGACAGGCTCCATATGAACCGTGTGACTCAAGAAGGCAGTCGTTTTTAATTTGGAATTAACTGATTAAAACATATACATAAGTTGGGCATGCAAAGCTTTTAACAGGTATAAATGTTTTTTTTTTTTTTTTTTTTTTTTTTTTTGTTGTTTTGTTTAGTTTTTTTGGCTTTACCTAGATCTGGCATTATCCTCATTTTGTGAAACCTACACTGAGAACCTTTTTGAATGAGCAGTCTCACAAGGCAACCCTTTGTTCTACACAAGAATGCTACTGTGTGCTTGGTTGAATGTGAACCCTGCTTAATGGAGGAGGATTTACCCAGCTCCTCCCCAGAGCCTGACTGTATTTGTCACACAAAACACATTGCAAATACATTGTATTTAAGTCTTTGAGCACTCAAATATTTTAAAGCTTCCTATTTTCAATTTAATTGAATATTACAAATAATAATAATAAAAATCCCGGAACATGAAAATGTTCTGTATGAGAGCTTGCAAGAATTTTCTCAAACTGCATAATTCCTGTTGCATTTTGATCGCAGTGCATCAAAATCAAATTTATAGAAGAGACACAGAGAAAGCCTTATTGACAAAAATGTTTTTATTAAAAACAAGATTTTTAAAAGTATAACATTCTGTCAGATGTGATCCATACCCATCAATCTAGTAAAATTCCCAAATTAACTCACACCTTTAGAATTAAAGTTAAGTTAAAGATAAGCTACATATACACAAGCATGTATTCGTATCTAAGATAAAGTAAGAATTTAGTTTTAGACTAAACAAGTATTGCTTTATTGTTTGATTTTATTCTGACAACAAGTGCAAATAACAGAAACAAATCTTCATTTTCAGGTCAGTTTAGCTCCAATGCTACATTCCAAGATAAAATACAAAAATACAAGCAGCAAGAGCAGTAAGTAAGAAACCAAATCACCCTGGCATAGGTTACTATTTTCCATTGTAATTCTAGATTATTCTAAGAAATCCAAAATCATTTGGTTACATACAAAAAAAAAAAAAAAAAAAAAAGAAAACCTACAAAATGTGAGATCCTTAATTAAAAAGCACAACACCTTGGAACAAACAACTACTCGATGAACATTTTGGCACTTATCAGTTTTCATGTACAAATAATTGCAAAACTACCTATGTGTGATACAAAGGAACAACAACAAAACACAGATTATTAATAAAAAATATAGATATTTTTGGTAAGCTGAATTTATTCCCTTTTAATAATATTGAAAATATGTATATATATTTTTTTTTCCAGGAAAATTACACCTTCAGAGAAAACAGAATCTGATGCAACTCTGCCCGCTATAATAGACATTAAGTCACAAATGTAAACCTTTTCTAAAAAAAAATTCTTGACTTTTACTTTACCTAAAATAAATATAGGCTTTTCAGTGCTATTGTATGGCATGTATATATCATACTTTCACTCAGTATGGGGTGAAGAAAATTATGTATCAAAGAAGTCAGTTAATGCATTCACATTAGCTAACAAGATGTTTTCTTGTGTGAAAGCAGTCAGTACTTGAATAAAGCCATAGGCCAAGCAGTTTAACATCTTATTCAATCTCTCTCTGCTGTAGTGCATTTCTTAACAAGCATATACATGTGTGACCTTAGTGGATACGCAAAACAAGGCAGGAATTTATGTGCTTGACTCGATATTTCTCTCAGTCACAGAGACTTTTTTATGCTGAACAACAACTCTCTGGCCTCCTTGGAGCCTGGGTGTGGTTGCTAGTGTAAAGTCTTCCTTTGATCCTGCAGAACCACGTGAGCCCGCAGAAAATGACTTCGCCTGAACTCCTTTTCCTCCCACCTCAAATCCTGCCTGTGAAGACCTCTGTTGCACATGACCAGAGCTCTGCAAATAATGTTTACTGTGCTTTCCACCAGAAGATCCATTCTCAACTACAAACATTTGAGTGTTTGTACCTGAGACGGCTTTCTGTGAGGAGCCCTGTGCCACTTGCCCAGACACTCCACTCATTCCCACTTGCCCTTCGACTAGCACCACACCCTGAGAACTTTGGAGGCCTCCAACCTGTATTAATCCTTGACTGAGCCCAGGTTGACTCACCTGACCAACCACCTGCTGAGTTCCTCCTGACACAAGCACCATTTGGGGATTTGACTCAACTACATACATGGGAGCAGCTGCGTAGTACATAGTAGGCTGCTGTATGAGAAGTGTTTGGTTAGGGATGACAACTGTCTCTTTGACTTTAGGAAGAGTTGCTGAACTGTTGGAGCGCTCAGTAATGTGCTCCTCTTGGATGAGGGTAGTAGACCCAGATGCTTTACTGAAGGCATTGAGGGTGTTGACATTCACTGGCTCTCTGTCTCTAATTGTTTCCGTGTGGGTATGGACCTGCTTGTGAATCGAGGTGGCTGGCATAGAGGTGAATGTGGTTTGGTTGGAGAGATTAGAAAGTCCCACATCCACTGAAGTACTCTCCAGGGGCTTCCCATTGCAGATTTCAGCCAGGGTTTTGAATTTTGGCCCCAGGTCATTGAGGAATGCAAGATCGTCATCATTTTCAAGGAGGCTGCAGCATCCCACAGAAGCTCCCTTCGACTCTTCTTCCTCGTATTGATAGTTCACTTCCTTGTCCTTCTCCAGATATTGCTGTGGAGCTTGTCTTGTTTTCTGAAAACAAATGAGAGTAAATTAGATCAATTACACGGATGTAATGTAGTTTCCCAATTACCCAAAGTGGGATATCTGTAGGAGATAGGATGTCGCCACACCAAAATAACCGATGGCTATAAACCATTATTACAATATTAGTTAACTTTAAACCATCTCTGGATAATAATTTAGTAATATTTACATCCACCTCAGAATCATATCGCTGTGCACTTGTGGTGGGAACATTTTATCAAAGGCTAACAGTTTATGAC